AAGTGATTCTTCTGCCTCAGCCTCCTGAGTAGCTGGGATTATAGGTGCCCACCAGGCCCGGCTAATTTTTTTGTATTTTTAGTAGAGACAGAATTTCACCATGTTGGCCAGGCTGATTTCAAACTCCTGACCTCAAGTGTTCTGCTCACCTCGGCCTCTCAAAGTGCTGGGATTACAGGCGTGAGTCACTGTGCCCGGCCGACTTACTCACATTTTCTAGTCAAAATAGAAAACTACTTAAGTCACTATCTACAGAAGGGCAAAAAAAAAAAAAAAAGAAATAAGAAATAAAAAATTGAAAACTGCTGATCATATTCAGAAAAACATAAGATTATTAACTACCTAAAGAGAAAAAATTTCAGCCTAAAGGGAAAAAAATTCATTTTTGTCTTAATAAGGCAAAATCACAATTTTTGAGGTTTTAACAAAATATTTGCAGAAAGACAAGGCCACCCTGTAGAACGTGCACACAACCCTAGGCTTGGAGATGGCTGGATTTAATAATATCTGGTCTTTCTCCATTCTGGCTAACACAGTGAAACCCCGTCTCTACTAAAAATACAAAAAAATTAGCTGGGCGTGGCAGCGAGCACCTGTAGACCCAGATACTTAGGAGGCTGAGGCAGGAGAATGGCATGAACCCAGGAGGCGGAGCTTCCAGTGAGCCGAGATCACGCCACTGCATTCCAGCCTGGGCGACAGAGCGAAACTCCGTCTCTAAATAATACTAATAATAAATAAATAATATCTGGTCTTTCTTTGAGCCCTGAAATTCTCTAACACTATGTCTTGGAACATAATTTTACTGTTTTCAGTGGTTATAGAGATTTGCTTTACAACTTAGCATTGGTCTTTACCCATGATTTTGTCTGATGCCAACTTGTTGGGCAGGAATGCATCCCCCGCCCCCTGCTTTGTTATGGCCTTGCTCCTAGAGGGAAAGAACCTCTGCTTTAAGGCCGGGTGTGGTGGCTCATGCCTGTAATCCCAGCACTTTGAGGGGCCAAGGCGGGCAGATCACCTGAAGTCAAGAGTTTGAGACCAGCCTGGCCAGCATGGTAAAACCCTGTCTCTACTAAAATTACAAAAATTAGCTGGGTGTGGTGGCGCACACCTGTAATCCCAGCTATTTGGGTGGCTGAAACAGGAGAACTGCTTGAACCCGGGAGGCGGAGATATATATATATATATATATACACACACATATATATATATATCTGCTTTAAGTGTGCAGGCACGTGTTTGTGCTGAAAGGCAGGAATGCTGAACTCGGCTGCATGGTACCAACTAGGACCTGCAGAGTTCCAAGGAGAATGAACAGTTGGTTCCTGAAGGCTGGGGGCTCGTATCAGACCCTGAAGACTAAGCATGTGCTGAGTCCATTGTGGTCCTGCACCCATGGTGGTACACTAAACACCTAACCTATATTTAAGTGTTTTTGTTTGTCAAAAAAATGTCTTTTTTTTTTTGGAGTCAGAGTCTTGCTCTGTCACCCAGGCTGGAGTGCAGTGGCATTATCTCAGCTCACTGCAGCCTCCGCCTCCTGGGTTCAAGCAATTCTCCTGTCTCAGCCTCCCAAATTGCTGAGATTACAGGCACACACCACCATGCCCAGCTAATTTTTGTAATTTTAGTAGAGACGAGGTGTCTCCATGTTGGCCAGGTCGGTCTTGAACTCTTGTCCTCAAGTGATCCACCTGCCTTGGCCTCCCGAAGTGGTGGGATTACAGGCATGAGCCACCGCGCCCGGCCTGCCTTGTCCCTTCTTAAAATGTTGTCCATTTGTAAGCTGCTCATTTCTTTGGGTCATTGTCTCCATAAACTTCTCATAAAGCATCAGTGATTTCACCATTCTTCCACCCAAGCTTCACCATAAATTTGTTGTTTGTTCTTGCTTCAATTTTAGCAGAATTCCTTTAGCTCTGATAAGGGCTTGCTTCAAACTGATGTCTTATCCTTCTTAGTGCCTCAAACTACATCCTGTTCACTCATGTTATAGCAAGTTATTATGAGTTTATTTTGGTGCACAAATTTTTTTTTAAATCTATGCAGTGTTTTTCATAATACGTATTTTCCATGAACTTGTTGAAGACCCCTTGTAGATGTCTATGCTTTAAACCACCCAGTTTACTGTAATTTTTTTTTTTTTTTTTTTGAGAATGAAAGTCTTGCTCTTTCACCTAGGCTGGAGTGCATTGGCACACTCTTGGCTCACTGCAACCTCTGCTCCCTGGTTCAAGCAATTGTTTTGTCCCAGTCTCCCGAGTAGCTGGGATTACAGGCTCCGTGCCACCACGCCTAGCTAATTTATGTGTTTTAGTAAGACCGGTTTTCACCATGTTGGCTAGGCTGGTCCCGAACTCCTGACCTTGTGATCGGCCCGCCTTGGCCTCCCAAAGTATTGGAGTAGAGACATGAGCCACTGCACCCGGCCTACAGTAATTTTATAGCAGCCCCAGACTAAGAATAGCCATTTCTGGGTATAAGAATGCATGCTCAGCAGCCTGCAACTGTGGAGTAAAAGTCTGCAAAAGAGGAGGGGCAGTGGCTCATGCTTGTAATCCCACACTTTGGGAGGGCCGAGGCAGGTGGATTACCTGAGGTCAGCAGTTCGAGACCAGCCTGACCAACATGGGGAACCCCATCCTACTAAAAATACAAAATTAGCTGGGCGTGGGTGGTACATTGCTTATAATCCCAGCTACTTGGGAGCCTGAGGCAGGAGAATCGCTTGTACTCCAGGAGGCAGAGGTTGCAGTGAGACCCGAGATCGTGCCACTGCACTCCTTTCTGGGTGACAGAGACTCCATCTCAAAAAAAACCCCAAAAACCAAAACAAAACAAAAAAACCAACAGCGTAGGTCGCAGTGGCTCATGCCTGTAATCCCAGCACTTTGGGAGGCTGAAGTGCAGATCCACCTGAGGTTAGGAGTTCAAGACCAGCCTGGGCCAACGGGTGAAACTCTGTCCCTACAATAACAAACAACAAAATTAGCGAGCATGAGTGGCGGGTGCCCTGTAGTCCCAGCTATTCGGGGCCTGAGGCAGAGAATCGCTTGAACCCAGGAGGTGGAGGTTGCAGTGAGCTGAGATCTCCGCTATTGTATCCAGCCTGGGCGCAGAGCGGACTCCGTCTCTAAAAAAACAAAACAAAACACAACAACAAAAACTCAAATATTATATTTGTATTTAATTTAATTTTATTTATTCTATTTTGTTTTATTTTAATTTTTTTTTAGAAACAGGGCTCATTGAGGCCAGGCATGGTGGCTCACGCCTGTAATCCCAGCACTTTGGGAGGGCCAAGGTGTAGTGGGGCAGATCACCTGAGGTCGGAGTTTGAGACCATCCTGATCACATGGTGAAACCCCATCTCTACTAAAATACAAAAATTAGCCAGGTGTGGTGGCACATGCCTGTAATCCCAGCTACTTGGGAGGCTGAGGTAGGAGAATCACTTGACAAGGGAGGATGGAGTTGCAGTGAGCCAAGATTGTTCCACTGCACTCCAGCCTGGGTGACAAGCCAGACTCCATCTCAAAAAAAAAAAAAAAAAAAACAAAGTAAAAGAAACAGGGCCTTACTCTGTTACCCAGGCTAGAGTGCAGTGGTACAATCATAGCTCATTGCAGCCTGGAACTCCTGGGCTCAAGTGATCCTCCTGCCTCAGCCTCCCAGTAGCTTAGACTTCAGGCATGCACCACCATTCCCAGCTAATTTTTAATTTTTTTTTGGTAGAGATGAGGGTCTTGCTATGTTGCCCAGGCTGGTCTCAAACTCCTGGCCACAAGCGATCCTGCCTTGTTGGCCTCCCAAAGTGCTGGGATTACAGGTGTGAGCCGCTGTGCCTGGCCTAAAAATATATATATGAAAATATATAAGAAATGGGCCTCCCAGGAATTAAGGTGTTTGTGGGAGTCTTGGTCCCCAGTTTTTCTGCTAAAACTCCCTGTTCCCACACATGACCTGGTCTAGACCCCAAACAGCTGGGCCCAAAGGACAGTTGAGGCGAGGCGAGAACTTGTGCCTCCCCATGTTCCTGCTCTTTGTCCCTCTGCCCTACTTAGACCCAGGACTAATATTTGCTTTGGGTACCACAAACAGGAAATGGGGGAGGGACAGGAGTAGGGCTGGGTGGAAGGCAGGGGAGGGACAGGAGTAGGGCTGGGTGGAAGGCAGGGGAGGACCAGAAGCCTCGCTAGGCCTGGCCTGGGGCAGGCAGCCAGGGAGAAGGAGGGCCATGCAGTGGAGACCCAGGGATTTGGAGTAGCCCCTATTCCAGGACAGGTGCAGGTCCTGGGAGGTGACAGAAGATAGACCAAAGGCCCAAGAGTCCCTGGACCTGACTCCTCCTCCCAGGCAGCTGCCACACACAAACACACCTCCAGGCACCCCAGACAGGAAGGAGGAGAAATGGGCCCCTCCTCCAGTGGCTGAGAGGCTTGGGCAAATGTTGGCTGTTCCTATCCCTGGTGCATCCCAAGGCGAGGGGCAACTTCCATCAGGCCACACCTTTTATCTTTGTCTCTATTTTTGATATCTGTGTATTGTGATTACACAAACCCCCACATTGGCCTATATGTGCAGATCTGATTATTAAGAACTTACGATATTCCATGGGCTTTCCATTCCTAATCTCCTTTAGTCCTCGCAACAAAGTATTATTCCCATTGTACAGATGAGGAAACTGTTGCACGCAGAGATGAAAGGCAACCACCACTGTATGTTAGGATTGGAAGGAGCTCTAGGAAAGTCTCGTAGCCCCACTGGCCAGAATGGGCTAAGTCTCAGAGAGGGAGGGTGGGAGATGGGGGTGACAGTGACCTTTTTTTGTGACTCCTCCTAGACCATCCATCCCTGGTCCCAGGAGGACCTGTCCTCCCAGATGGCGGGGGTGGACAGGAGGACTATCTACCCACCCGTCCCCATGGCCCTGACCCTCTGACCTCACCCTCTCCGCTGATTTCTTCATGTTAGTTCAACATTAACCCAGAGGGGTCAGGACAGACAATTCCTCAGTGACCCAGGAGCTGACACACTATGGCGCACGTCCGAGGCCTGCAGCTGCCTGGCTGCCTGGCCCTGGCTGCCCTGTGTAGCCTTGTGCACAGCCAGCATGGTAAGGGGGTGCTTGCAGGCTGGAACAGGCTGGAGGATTGGGGTGTGGGCCCATGGACCGGGGTCTCCTGGCTGGACAGAGCACACAGAGCTGGCCCCTAGGTAGGTCTCAGCCCCAGGCGGCCAGCTTGGGGAAGAAGTCAGGAGCTCAGGACTGGAAAGAGAAGGGCTGCTTCTCTCTTCCAATATGGGGAGCAGGCTGGGGGCAAGGGGCAGTGTAGGAGGGGCACAGGGGGCCATATTTAGCAGCCTTCCAGGCACTTCCGCCAGCCCAGACAGCCCCTCTCAGAAGCCAGCAGGGGAGGGCGGGCTTGCTTCCTGCCCCCGCAATGGCCAAGACCACCTGCTCCTGAGGCCGCTGTCCCATGACCCCCCCACTGCAGTGTTCCTGGCTCCTCAGCAAGTGTTCCTGGCTCCTCAGCAAGCGCTGTCGCTGCTCCAGCGGGTCCGGCGAGCCAGCAGCGGCTTCCTGGAGGAGGTGTTCAAGGGCAACCTGGAGCGAGAGTGCATGGAGGAGATGTGCAGCTACGAGGAGGCCTTCGAGGCTCTGGAGTCCTCCACGGCCACGGTGAGCCTGGGCTGCTCGGACGGCTCCAGGGCCTCAGAGTGGGCCCAACTCTAGACACTTCCACAGAGAAGCAAGAGAGGAACGCCACAGCCCCTTCACCGCTCACAGCCTCATTTCAACTCTGAGCCCCTCCTCACGGGGCTGGCTAGAGGAGTGGCCTCAGCCTTTCCTGGGGGTCCCTGTGCCTGGACTCTGTCAAGGTTCCGGGGTCCTGTGTGGCTCCATGACGTGGGGAGGCCTCCACAGTCTTCAGCCATCCGCCTGCCCTGGGGCTCTGTGTCCACATGGCCTCCTTAGCGGCAGCCTCCTGCACCACCCTTGAGGGGTGGGACTCTGGGGAGGCCACCACAAGCCCCGGACTCAAGACTCAGTGTTCCTGGAGCTCTGTGTCACCTTCCCTGTCTATAGGGCTCTGCCAGGGTCCCATGGCCCCCTCTCCTCCCATCTCCCCCAGTCTTGTTCAGTCTCGGTGTGTGTGTTGGAGAAACTCCCCTATCCTCAAATATTCTTCTCCTTTTGGAAACAAAAGTAGGAAACTCTGCCACAAACCTCCCCAGAGCCTGCCCCCTGCATGACCAGGGTAAAGGAAAGTGTGAGGAGGAGACATAACATTTACTAAACACAAAACAGGAGCTGCCGTAGCCTCACTCCCAGCCCTTGTTTTTCAGGATGCTTTCTGGGCCAAGTACACAGGTGAGCACCGGGAAGGATTTGCCCCAGGAAGGGAGGCCTGGGGACCCCAGTGAGAGAATTCTACCTGGAGAATCTTCTGCTGCACCCAGCCATCCACCTGTCCACCCCTTCCCCACTCCTTCCTCCGTCCCTCCCATCTGTCCATCCATCTCTCTGTTTCTCACCAACATCCCATCCACCCTTGACTCCAGCCCATCCTGGCCGTACCCCAATCCCAAGGGTAAACACCTGGGTCTTTTCCAGCTTGTGAGACGGTGAGGACGTCTCGAGATACGCTTGCTGCATGTCTGGAAGGTGAGCAAGTGACACGGGGTTGGGGGTCAGGACATGGAGGGGAGCCCGAGAGAAGAGCTCAGGGGTGGGTTTGGAGTGTGGCCAGTGGAGGCCGAGGCGGTCCCCAGTGTCCGACGTTGCTCCCATTCCTGGGGTCAAGATGTGTCTTTGTGCCTGGCTCTGTGTCTGGCATGCAGTCAGATGATTCAAGTTGGAGGAACGAATGAATGAATGAATGGATTATTTTTTATTTATTTATTTTTTCGAGACAGAGTCTCACTCTGTCGCCCAGGCTGGAGTGCAGTGGCACGATCTCAGCTCACTGCAGACTCCACCTTCCAGGTTCAAGCAATTCTCTGCCTCAGCCTCCCAAGTAGCTAGAAATACAGGTGCCCGTCACCACGCCTGGCTAATTTTTGTATTTTTAGTAGAGACCAGGTTTCACCATGTTAGCCAGGCTGGTCTTGAACTCCTGACCTCGTGATCCACCTGCCTTGGCCTTCCAAAGTACTGGGAGTATAGACGTGAGCCACTGCGCCTAGCCATGAATTCATGTTTAAGGCTTCATTCTCCTTTGCCTGACCCGAGTCTCTGCCCCGACCTAGTCAGAGCTCTGATGACGTCACATTCCCCTTCTAGCTTTAGGTGTCATTGCACCAAACAGGAACCCAAACCCCCGGCTGCTCTGACACCAAGGACTTCCCTAAGTGCGCCAAGGTGTTTCTAGCACCTGGCCTTGCATATGTTGTCGATTTCCTCTGGAGCAACCATCACCACCTACTGAATACTTCCCTATCCTTCAAGGACTGCTTCAAATGTTGCCACATTTTTTTTTTTTTTGAGATGGAGTCTGGCTCTGTTGCCCAGGCTGGAGTGCAGTGGCCGGATCTCAGCTCACTGCAAGCCCCGCCTCCCGGGTTCACGCCATTCTCCTGCCTCAGCCTCCCGAGTAGCTGGGAGTACAGGCGCCCGCCACCTCGCCCGGCTACTTTTTTTTGTATTTTAGTAGAGACGGGGTTTCACCGTGTTAGCCAGGATGGTCTTGATCTCCTGAACTCGTGATCCGCCCGTCTCGGCCTCCCAAAGTGCTGGGATTACAGGCTTGAGCCACCGCGCCCGGCCACTTTTGCTGAGACTTCAGGGAGCACCCTCCCTCCTGCACTGCGTTCTGAAGGCACCTTTAGCATGACAAAAGGCTCCGTGACTTGGAACTCTTTATTTGTTTATTTGTTTGTAAGAGACAGGGGCTCCCTTTTTTGCCCACGCTGGTCTTGAACTCCTGGGCTCAGGCAATTCTCCCATCTCAACCTCCCAAAGTAGTAGGATTACAAGTGTGAGCCACCGCGCCTGGCTGCCGTACTTTCTTTTTTTTTTTTTTTTGAGATGGAGTCTTGCTCTGTCGCCCAGGCTGGAGTGCAACAGTGCAATCTCAGCTCGCTGCCACCTCCGCCTAGCGAATTCAAGCAATTCTCCTGCCTCCGCCTCCTGGGTAGCTGGGATTACAGGCACACACCACCATGTCCAGCTAATTTTTTGTATTTTTAGTAGAGATGGGTTTTCACCATGTTGGTCAGGCTGGTCACAAACTCCTGACCTCAGGTGATCTACCAGCCTCGGCCTCCCAGAGTGCTGGGATTATAGGCGTGAGCCACCACGCCCGGCCTCATTTGTTAAATTACATACTCAACAGATACTTTACAAAGTTCCTGCTATGTGCCCCGCACTATATCAGGTGCTGGGGATTTTAAGAGAATCAAATACAGTCTCTGCCTTCAAGAATTCACAATCTCAAAAGAGAACAAAAATACAAAATATTAAAATGATTGCAGCCGGGTGGGCTCAAGCCTGTATTCCTAGCACTTTGAGAGGCTGAGGTGGGCAGATCACTTGAGGCCAGGGGTTTGAGACCATCCTGGCCAACATGGTGAAACCCCCCGCCTCTATTAAAAATACAAAAATTAGCTGGGGCGTGTTGGCACGTGCCTTTAATCATAGCTACTAGGGAGGCTGAGAGGGGAGAATTGCTTGAATCTGGGAGGTAGAGGTTGTAGTGAGCTGAGATCGTGCTACTGCACTCCAGCCTGGGCAACAGAGCAGGACCCCATCTCAAAATAAATAAATAAAAACAAAAAATAAATAAATAAAGTGATTGCAAGAAAAGTTCCGTTCAAGGCACCAAGAGAACACAGGAAAATGAGTGTCTGGTTTGCCAGAAGAGAGATGACTTCCCAGGAGAGGCAGAGTTCTGCCTGGCCTGGTGGGATGCATGGATGAACAAGCGGGCATTCCAGGCAGAAGAAACAGCCCGTGGAAAGACCCAGAGGCACGAGGAGCCAAGTTAGCAGGGACAGGTAGACCAGGGCCAGATGAAAAGGCCTTGGTCACTTTTTCATCCTGCTGGCCAAGAGAAGCCACTGAATGGAAGCTCCATGAGGGCAGGGCTGTGACTGTCCTATTGGTTGATGTGTGCTGAGCACCCGACAGTGCCTGTCACATGGTGGGCACTCAGCAAATATTTGGCAGCCACTGTTGAGTGAATGGGAGAACTGCTGGATGCAGAGGAGGAGGGGCTGGGTGAATGCAGGTTAAGGATTGTGGACCTGCATGAGCTTGGAGGTGGGGGATAGACAGAACTTTGCTGGGAGAGAGGAAATAAGTCCCCAGGCTCCAAGGCTGACTGGGGTGGGGTCTCCGCAGGTAACTGTGCTGAGGGTCTGGGTACGAACTACCGAGGGCATGTGAACATCACCCGGTCAGGCATTGAGTGCCAGCTATGGAGGAGTCGCTACCCACATAAGCCTGAGTGAGTGAGGGGCCGGCCTTTCCACCAGGGGCTGAGAACAGGAAGCAAGGATATCTCGTGCGCAACAGCCTCCTGTTGGGCAATTTCCTGTTCCAGAATCAACTCCACCACCCATCCCGGGGCCGACCTGCAGGAGAATTTCTGCCGCAACCCTGACGGCAGCACCACAGGACCCTGGTGCTACACTACAGACCCCACCGTGAGGAGGGAGGAATGCAGCATCCCTGTCTGTGGTGAGCTGGGGGCAGGGCGTGGCCCATGGTCAAGGCCCGGGGGCTTCATGGGGCCTGGCAGCCTGGGATGGGAACCAAGAATGCTGGCTGGTGCAGTGGCTCATGCCTGTAATCCCGGCACTTTGGAAGGCTGAAGCAAGTGGATCACCTGAGATCAGGGGTTTGAGATCAGCCTGGCCAACATGGCAAAACCCCATCTCTACTAAAAATACAAAAATTAGCCAGGCATGGTGGCGGGTGCCTGTAATCCCAGCTACTCAGGAGGCTGAGGCAGCAGAATCGCTTGAACCCGGGAGGCAGAGGTTGTAGTGAGCTGAGATCGTGCCATTGCACTTCAGCCTTGGTGAGAAGAGCAAAACTCTATTTCAAAAAAAGAAAAAAAAAAGAAAAAAACAAGATGCTGGCCACCTTCAGAGCTGGCATCAGTCATTCAGATCATATCTGTGCCTGTTGCTCAGTGAAGTCAGGGAATCGGGATCTTAGTGGGGGGATCTGCCAGCCTCCTCCTCCTGCTTCCCACTCTTGACTTCCTTATGGTCCAGGCTGTGGCTCATTCCAAACATGCCTTCTTTCTGATCAAGGCACTCCTTCCTCCGGGAAGCCCTCCCTAGCCATTTCTGTCCACACGCCCTGTTCTGAGTATCACAGAGCAAGCCTTGTGCAGTTTGGCCCTGCAGGATTCTGTCATCATTATTTTCCCTGGTGTGTTAAGTAGCTATAGCTACCCTTCCCCAAGGCAGACCACAATAAGCATTTCTTTTTCCCGCGAGGGTTGGCGGGCGTGGCGCTGCTGATCTCAGCTGCACTCGCTGATGATGTCTTGTAGGGTCAACTGACAGAGGCTGGCCCTGGCTGGGTGGCTCTGATTCAAATAATGGGTCCAGCTGAGCCTGGTTCCTCGTTGAGTGTTGGGCCTAGATCTGCTCCACGTGTGATCATGCTGGGGCTGAGGCTGAAAGACAGCAGTACCTGGGAAAACTCTTCTTATGCTGATGACAGACACAGAAAATAATGAACAGAAAAGCATCTTCTGTCCTGAAGGCCTAGGCTCAGAACAGGCACAGTCAGCCCTGCCCACATTCCATTGGCCAGAGCAAGTATATGTTCAAGGCTAGGGTCAAGAGGTGAACTACACGTCGGTCTGTAAAATCACAGAGCAAAGGATGTGGATGTAGCCAGGGGTAAAGAATTTGTGCCGGTTACCAGTCCCACAAACATGGGTTGGTATTCTTTGTTCTCTAGGCATCCCTGTCGGGTCCATTGCTCGTTCCTGGGGATGGTCTTTTTTTTTTCTTTCTGAGACAGAGTCTCACTCCCTCGCCCAGGCTGCTGGAGTGCAGTGGCGTGATCTCAGTTCACTGCAACCTCCACCTCCCAGGTTCAAGCAATTCTCCTGCCTCAGCCTCCTGAGTAGCTAGGATTACAGGTGTGCGCCACCACGCCCGGCTAATTTTTTTGTATGTAGTAGAGATGGGGTTTCACCATGTTGGCCAGGCTGATCTCAAACTTCTGACCTCATGATCCTCGCACTTCGGCCTCCCAAAGTGCCGGGATTACAGGGGTGAGCCACTGTGCCCAGCCTTTTTTTTTTTTTTTTTTTTTTTTTTTTTTTTTTTTTTTTTTTTTTTGAGACGGAGTCTCACTCTGTTACCCAGGCTGGGGTACAGTGGCACAATCTTGGCTCACTGCCTCCACCTCCTGGGTTCAGGCGATTCTCCTGCCTCAGCCTCCCATATAGCTGGGACTGCAGGCATATGCCACCACACCTGGTTAATTTTTGTATTTTTAGTAGAGACGGGTTTCTCCACATTGGTCAGGCTGATCTCAAACTCCTGATCTCAGGTGATCTGCCCTGCTGAGCCTCCCAAAATTCTGGGATTACAGGTGTAAGCCACTGCGGCTGGCCCCTGGGATTGGTCTTGTAGCAAGTTTATCCTAACAAAAACAGCTACCATTTACCTCCCAGCCCCCATACACGTGCGCACACACTGATGATAAATAAGTTGCAGACTTGCAGAAACTGACCTATCCAGGTGAACAGCTTAGTGATCCCAGCAAGCTTCCTGCTGTGCCGCCATAAAAACAGACTCCTCCAGCAGCCCCAGGCAGCAACTACCAGTTGATTACAGGTAGCCCAGCAGGCCAAACCCAGTTATTATCTCTGGTTTATTATGTGCCAGACACTTACGCTGTATATTTTGTTTAATCCTCTCAACAAGCCTGCAAGAGTGGCATTAGTAACCCCTTTAAAGGCAGACAGACAGAAGCCCAGAGAGGTTAAGTAACCTGAGGTCACACAGGCAAAAAGCAGCAAGACTGGGGTTCACATCCCTGTCTGTTCCGGTCCATGTGTGGTCTCACTCACTCTGCTGCCTCCTTACCCCTCACCCACCAGGCCAGGATCAAGTCACTGTAGCGATGACTCCACGCTCCAGAGGCTCCAGTGTGAATCTGTCACTTCCATCGGAGGAGTGTGTCCCTGATCGGGGGCGGCAGTACCAGGGGCGCCTGGCAGTGACCACACATGGGCTCCCCTGCCTAGCCTGGGCCAGCGCGCAGGCCAAGGCCCTGAGCAAGCACCAGGACTTCGACTCGGCCGTGCAGCTGGTGGAGAACTTCTGCCGCAACCCAGACGGGGATGAGGAGGGCGTGTGGTGCTATGTGGCCGGGAAGCCTGGTGACTTTGAGTACTGCGACCTCAACTATTGTGGTGAGCTGCCTGGGTAGGGGCCTGAGATGCAGGGACGAATCCTGGTGGGAATAACAACAGTTGCTTCTGCTTACCGAACACTTACCGCGTTGAGTGTGCTCATAACAGCCTTACAGTAACCAGGTAGGGGTAAGGTCCTGTGCCCATTTCATAGATAAGTACATTGAGGCCCCAGGAGGTTATTGCCTAGTAGCCCAACTGTGCATGCACTCTTAACCTCTGCACCAAACGGCCTCCAAGGCCCACAGGGGAATTGGGGGGATCTAGGGGATGCGTGAGGAATGGCCCAGTCGAGTCCCAGCCGGTGCCCGGGTCCCAACAGAGGAGGCCGTGGATGAGGAGACAGGAGATGGGCTGGGTGAGGACACAGACAGGGCCATCGAAGGGCGTACCGCCACCAGTGAGTACCAGACTTTCTTCGATCCGAGGACCTTCGGCTTGGGAGAAGCAGGTGAGGTAGTGGGCATCTGAGGGACGCGGGCGGGGCTGTGGGGCTGGTGGCCAGCACTTGCCCCTCACCGCTTGGCTTGCTCTGCAGACTGTGGGCTGCGACCTCTGTTTGAGAAGAAGTCGCTGGAGGACAAAACTGAAGGAGAACTCCTGGAATCCTACATCGACGGGCGCATTGTGGAGGGCTGGGATGCAGAGATCGGCATGTCACCTTGGTGTGTCCCGGAGCCCTGTGCTACCATTCACTCCTGGGGGCAGGTGTGCTGCTGGCCCCCCACCCTCCGGCCCTGCCCACAGGCCCGGGCTTTATAGATGACAACAGCTGAGCATCCAGGATCCCACCAACTGCACAGCAGCCACATGAGATGGGTTATTTCCTTCCTTTTTTTTTTTTTTTTTTAAAGATGGAGTCTTGCTCTGTCACCTAGGCTGGAGTGCAGTGCCACAATCTCAGCTCACTGCTGTGATCTCGGCTCACTGCAACTTCTGCCTTCCAGGTTCAAACGATTCTCTTGCCTCAGCCTCCTGAGTAGCTGAATTTACAGACATGCGCCACCACACCCAGCTAATTTTTGTTATTTTAAGTAGAAACAGGGTTTCACCATGTTGGCCAGGCTGGTCTTGAACTCCTGACCTCAAGTGATCCACCTGCCTCAGCCTCCCAAAGTGTTGGGATTACAGGCGTGAGCCACCGCATCCGGCCCATGGGTGCTTTACTTCTAAGCAGATGGTAAAGCTGAGGCTCACAGAGCTGGTGGCTCACCTCCGCACACTGCTAATGGGTTTGAATCCAGTTCTTCTGATTCCAGAGCTGGGCTACGCTGTGTGAACTCTGGACTGGAAGGACCTAGTAAGGGAGTACAAAAAGCAGGAGGCAGGTCAGGTGCAGTGGCTCACCCCTGTAATCCCAGCACTTTGGGAGGCCAAGAAGGGAAGATCACTTGAGGTCAGGAGTTCAAAGCCAGTCTGGGCAAAATGGTAAAACCCCGTCTCTACTAAAAATGCAAAAATTAGCCAGGTATAGCAGCATATCCCTGTAGTCCCAGCTACTAAGGAGGCTGAGGCGGGAGGATTGCTTGAGCCCAGGAGGTTGAGGCTTCAGTAAGCTGTGACTGTACCATTGCACTCCAGCCTGGGTGACAAGAGTGAAACCCTGTCTCAAAAAAAAAAAAAAAAAAAAGTGTGAGGCAACCCCTCAGCATCACATGGAGGCTCCAGGCCCCAAGGGCGGCCAGCCCAAGCTTGGATCTGGGCCCCGGAGGCAGCTCTGCCCCGCTGGGTTCTTAGACCTGGGACTTGTTACTTCTAGGGCTGGTGTACAGGCAGCCCCCCTCACCCTCAGCTCCTAATGCTTCCTGCTCCCCCTCCTAGGCAGGTGATGCTTTTCCGGAAGAGTCCCCAGGAGCTGCTGTGTGGGGCCAGCCTCATCAGTGACCGCTGGGTCCTCACCGCCGCCCACTGCCTCCTGTACCCGCCCTGGGACAAGAACTTCACTGAGAATGACCTTCTGGTGCGCATTGGCAAGCACTCCCGCACCAGGTACAGAACTGGTGGCCTGTGGGTGTCTGGCAGGGGTCTGAGTCCTCCAGAGCGATCATGAGGGGCCCTGGTGGCTCCGGGACAATGGGATGTTCTGTATACCCCCAGAATATGACATCCCGGCAGTCTCTGCTGGAAAGTCCATTTGGTCATGTCCTGACTGAGGCTTGGAGCTAGAGAGGGGAAACCTGTCTGTCTCCTGGGCCCTCCAACACCAGGATATGGCCCATGTGGGAGTCTCCGAAAATAGTCTGTCTGGACCAGGGTGTGAAGCCTGTGCCCTTGTCCCTGTCCTCCCGACTGTCTGATTCCAAAGCCCGGCACGGCTTTAGGCCCGGGAAGAAATGGCCAGGGGGCTGCCACGGCAGGAGCCAGCCCTATCCCCTCCCTGGTGGCCTGCAGGACACCCTGTCTCCCAGACCCCAAGGGCAGGCAGTTTCCTGCCCCTTGCTGGGTGAACCTGCAGCTTCTCCATTTCTCTCTTGGGGTCTCTGCAGGTATGAGCGAAACATTGAAAAGATATCCATGCTGGAAAAGATCTACATCCACCCCAGGTACAACTGGCGGGAGAACCTGGACCGGGACATTGCCCTGATGAAGCTGAAGAAGCCCGTTACCTTCAGCGACTACATCCACCCTGTGTGCCTGCCCGACAGGGAGACGGCAGCCAGGTGGGCAACCAGACGCTTATTAGCTGAGGGGCAGAAGCCGAGTTCTGGGCCTGGCTCTGATACCAGGCAGCCTTGCAGAGCCCCTTTCCCTTTTCCAGGCCTCAGTTTCTTGGAGTGAACCCAAAAGTTCTTTTCAGCACTGGCGTTTTATTTTTTATTTATGTTAAATAAACATAATAAATAATTTATTGACGGAGTTCCACTCTTGTCTCCCAGGCTGGAGTGTAGTCGTGCGATCTGGGCTCACTGCAACCCCTCCTCCCAGGTTCAAGCGACTCTCCTGCCTCAGCCTCCTGAGTAGCTGGGATTACAGGCTAATTTTTGTATATTTAGTAGAGACTGGTGGGTTTCACCATGTCAGCCAGGCTGGTCTCAAACCCCTGACCTCAAGTGATCCGCCCGCCTCAGCCTCCCAAAGTGCCGAGAGCAGAGGCGTGAGCCTCCGTGCCCTGCCAGCACGGACGTTTTAGATTCTGGTCTCTAAGAAATGGCGTTGGGGCCAGGCGGCTCCTGCGAGGGTTGGCTCTCACCAGGCCCTTCTTCCTTCCCCAAAGCTTGTTCCAGGCTGGATACAAGGGGCGGGTGACAGGCTGGGGCAACCTGAAGGAGACGTGGACGGCCAACGTTGGTAAGGTGCAGCCCAGTGTCCTGCAGGTGGTGAACCTGCCCATCGTGGAGCGGTCGGTCTGCAAGGACTCTACTCGGATCCGCATCACTGACAACATGTTCTGTGCTGGCAAGTCTGGGGCGGGCTGAGGAAACAGTGGGGCCCGGGCTGGGAGGACTGAGTTGTGCCTAGGTTCAAGGCATGTGACTTTGGGCAAGTTGCCTAACCTCTTGGTGGCTCAGTTTCTTCCTCTGTAAAATGGAGGTAAAAGTCTCTATCCCATAAGGTTATGGGAGGGTTAAATGAAGTAGCATGTATTAATATATTTGGCATAGTATCAGTCACCAGTGAAGTGTTCAATATATGTGAGCTCAGATAGCAGCAAGAGGCTGCGGGTGGGGAAACGCCATTCATTCAATCACTCAGCAGATATTTATTGAGCGCCTATTACCTTCCAGGCAGTATTCTAGGGTATACAGCAGGGACCCAGACCGACAATGTCTGTGCCCTCAGAGGGCTTCCTTCCTAGGAGGAGGGCACGTCCATAAACAGATCTAAAACAGCAATGCCTGACCGGTGCTGTGAAGAAAAATGAAGCACAGGGAGAGAGAAGGGCTGATGAGGTGGGCTTCTAAATAGGGTGGCCAGACGAGGCGGGCAGATCACTTGAGGTCAGGAGTTCGAAACCAGCCTGGCCAACATGGTGAAACCCCGTCTCTACTAAAAATACAAAAATTTGCCAGGCATGGTGACGCATGCCTGTAATCCCAGCTACTCAGGAGGCTGAGGCAAGAGAATTGCTTGAGCCCGGGAGGCGGAGGTTGCAGTGAGCTGAATTCGGGCAGTGAGCTGCACTCCAGCCTGGGCAACAGAGTGAGACTCCATCGATCGATCAATCAATCAATCAATCAGGTGGTCAGAGAAGGTTGGAGAAGGCCTCCCTGAGAAGGTGATGTCTGGGCAGGGACTGGAAGAGGGGAAGGAAGGGAGTGAGCAGGCATGTCTAGGGGAGGAGCACCGCAGGCTGGGGGCATGGCAGGCGCAAAGGCCCTGAGGTGTGAGCACACTTGTCTTGTCTGGGGAGCAGTAGGGAGGCCTGGGGTGCTGAGGAGGGGCAGCAGTGGGTGAGGGAGAGAAGGGCCAGGCAGAGGAGAGCCACTTCCTTTAGGGCCTGGAAGGACTTTATTGAGTGAGATGGGAAGTTATCGAGGGGCTTGAGGCAGGTTAAGAAATGATCTGACTGACTTGAAAAATAAAAAATAAAAATTTAGTGTAATTTCAGACTCACAGAAAAGTTGCAAAAATAATACAAAGATTTCCTGTATACTGTCATCCAGATTGTCCTCCATTCTGTGGATGTGTGGGAGTTTTTATATATATATATATGTGTGCATAGTTTGAGAGCAAATCGTGAATATGGTTTCTTTTCACCCATAAATACTTAAGTATTTCCCAAAAAAAAAAAAAAAAAAAAACTAGTCATGTACATGCACACGTTAGCATAAAAGTAAATATTGATTTAGCAATCATAGTTTCTGAGATCACTATGGATGTAGCTAATATAAAACTAAATCATTTCCACGTATTTCAACTTATTTTCTACAACATAAGTCTGGCATA